TTACATAAGTGTAACTTTAATTGTTTCTTGCATCCTGTTGTATATTTAATCAATATTAGAGTCAATTTTACCACCCACACAACAGTGACTGAATAGCAAGTGAAAGTGTAAGCATAACTAGTGATCTGAATTGAAATTCGATTCACAAATTTTAAATTTTAAATTTTAAATTTTGACATTTAGAATAATATTTTAACTTGTGTTTTGTGAGAGAGCTTGATATATTATTGAGCGTGGGCCTGAATAAGATACAGGATCGAATAAGTGAGAAGACGAATGTGATTGCGTGTAATTATACAGCTGTGTTCGTACACCTGAGGATGACCTCTTGAGGTCGAAACATGTAGTGTAATAATAATAAAAATATGTTGTGTGGTCGGGAAAATTGACTCTAATATAGATTACATAAGTGTGTTTAATGCTTTAAGATGGTTCTATAGGATGTTCATTCATATCGAAGCTGTCTTTTTATTATGAGAGTTAAGTGCGCAAAGAGACACGTGAAGTCAAGTTGTAAACAAAGACAACTGTTGAAATTCCAAATGTTCCGTACATACGAGATACAAGATAATTATGAACAGTGAAGTTTATTCTTATACACCTTGTGAAATTTGTTAGTTCACTTCCAGACTGTTCACATTGTATCCGTTAGGTTGAAGTACGTAGAATGACTGGTAGCTTACAATAAATGTTGGGACACACAGAGAGTAATTACGTCCACCCTTACACAAAATACATGGGCCTACAGTACCTGTAGTTATCGTTATAGTTCCGCTATTGTGACATTTCGTGCTTAAAGCTGATGCCCTACGAACAAGTCCACTGTTGCATATATTTATTATCCTTGGCACTACAGCCCCAGTGGGTCTAGGCCTACCTCCATGAACTTCTCCGTTCACTTCGGTTTTTCTAGATCTTACACATGCGGTAGGACTCCTTGGGCGGGTGATCAGCTCGTCGCAAGGCCTCTACCTGTACACAAACACAGAAAGACGCACACACACAAACTAAACATCCATGCCCTGAGTGGGATTCGAACCCACGATCCCGGTTTCCAAGCGAGCGAAGACAGTACATGCCTTAGACCTCTCGGCTACCGTGACCGGCGTTGCATATATTTACGATGGAAATTTACCACAACCTAATATTTCTTCATGTGTACACAAAAGCCTAGTAAGGGAAACTCATCCAGTTACATTTACAGATCTGTCCAGATGAGCGTAAAGTGAAACTGGTAATTACACACAGCTGATAAATTCAATGTAGATTTATATTCGGGAGGTGATTGGTTCGAATTCAGGCCTGAGTGTCTCAAATGAGATTTATTGTGTTCTTCGAGAGCCTGTCCAGGAAAACGACAAGATTGTACTTGCACTGGGCCACAAATTCTTCCTTCCGTAAAAATATAAAGCTATCCCTGTAACAGGTCGTGGAGGCTCATAAGTTTGTGAGACGTCGAGGCTCCAAAATTTTCTATATATTATGGCGGTAAGGTTGTCAGCCTTACGCGCCGGCCACCCTTTACATCTCAGGAAGCTATCCCTGTAACAGGTCGTGGAGATTCATAGGTTTGTGAGACGTCGAGGTTCCCACATTTTCTAGATATTATGGCGGTAAGGTTATCAGCCTTTCGCGCCGGTCACCTTTTACTTCTCAGGAATCTTCCTGGTACTCATTTCTGTTAGAGGCTGACTTGATCCCAGGGCCATAATGTGGCTTGAATGATCAGGTAAACTGAAAAATTCCACCTCATGGGGATTCGAACCCAAGACTTTGCGGCTTGTAGCATTGTGCCTCAACCATCTACGCTACCGTGTGATAGTATCCCTTCCAATTAATTGTTCATCTTTCGTATTCCCATTCGACACTCCCTAATCCAGATATGGACGTCGCAAACTATAAACATTGCGGACTGCGTTGAGATGTCTCCACGTGAAATATTTCCAAATTAAATTCTCTTCTTGCGAATTTCAGCTCTCGACAGTACAGCCGGAAGAACTAACATTGCTTGAAGGGATAAATCATGCAAACAACGAATATGAATCACAAAAAGAACGCCCAGATTTATTTAAATGAACTGAAAAACGAGAAATAAAGAAAGATTATTAAAAAAGATAATATTGCTTTTCAAGTGAATTGAGGTTGTCTCTGTTTAGCTGAAGGCAAAGAACGGGGAATAGAGGAAGAAACAAATATGCGATAATGTAAATAAGAACACAATTCGGTGGAGAGCTGCTATATGTGGTTATTTACAGGCTAATGAGTAAGAATTTTCGACTTATCTTCACTGCGCATGTGCGTACCGTAATCGTCCGCACTAACATTAAAGTAACAACGCTATGTGGAAGTAGGTTCGGAGAGGATCAGAGGTTACTGCTACCTCCATAACGGACACAAAACCACCGTTAACGTTAAAATCAACACTGTTGCGCATGCGTAACACTAACAGGAAGGGTAGTCAACACAGTTGATAAACTACTCAAAAACGATTACAGCTACCGTCTGTTCCCAACATTAATTAGTCTAAATGTCATTTTATAAGCAGGTTTAACTGATTAATAAATTTCAAATAATTAACTGAAGGAACCATTAATCGGTTAAATAACTGCGTAAAAAAAATATTCTTATTGCCGAAAGTCATTAATTTCGTATTACGTCAACAATCAAAATGCGATTTGGAAACTGAATCCAGAAAGAAAAGTTTCTGGGTGTTTTCGTTTCAGATAACATTGACAGAAATAAATAGAATCAAAGCACTGAATGCATAAATTCCGAATCTCTCCAATTTTATGATAATTTAAATTACGGCACAAAATAAAAATATAATTAACAGAATAAGTGTAATGGCATTTCTTCAACTTTTTATTAACAGAATCATTTCGTTTAAAATCCTTCCTTCACAAACCAATACTTACTCTACCACTCAAGAAATTACCAGTATTTTATTGAATCCTAAATTTAATTAGGGTTTTCACAACAGCCAGCCATTAATATCTATCCTAAGCCAGATTAATCCAGTCCTCACTCATAATTCTATTCTTCTGAGATCCATTTAAATATTTCTGTATCTGTGTCTAGGTCTTGCTAGTGGTCTCCTTCCTCCAGATCTCTCTACCAAGACGGTACACACATCCCGCTTCACCACTGAAGACAAGAAGATTAAGAACTTAAGAGATAGGACGAAACGTCTGATTACGATTTTATCGAGAAAACCGGTGCAACAATAACGCTTTGGATTTGTATTCGTGGGGTTCTCGGTCCGTATTTCGTCCCGTACTCCAAGCATCCTGACAGATATATTACGTAGTTTTTCGGAAACCATCCCAAAGCAATTCCTTTAAAATAACTCGATCAGATCACGACCGCTACTTCCGAATCCTTTCCAATTCATTGTTCACAAATCACCCTACCTCTGAGATGCTGATAGCGCTGCAAAATAAACCACAAACGTCCCCTAAAGACTGCTTGTCGCGAACTCCTGTAACAGGACGCGCCGCGTGTGCTCTGGTTAACGGACAGTCGCAACAGGCTCCTCCTCGTGAAGTTCGAAACATTTGCACAAGAATTGCTGGAACACGAGAAACTGTAGGAAACACTTAACTATTGTCCTTCAGTAGGAAGAAATATGAATCCCTTATTTTGGAAATCCGTTTGAAAAACATTTCCGAAACAATTTTATTTTTTTTTTTTTTCAGAATTTAGAACGTAATGAGGAACATCGACTGTTGTTCCCGATAAGGATCCTGCATACGAAGCGATACTTTGTGACTTCCTCTTAGGCTTCACAGCTCTGGGACCTTCTCCTTCTTCTCCTACCTTGATGGATTACGCTCTCTGGTCTGTTCCCACTCAAAGCTAATGTTGAAATTATGACTCTTACAGACAGTCGGTAGGACTCCTTGGGCAGGGAAATAAAGCCCGTCTCAAGGCCGCTACCTAAAAAGGACGGCACAAACACAGAATAATTGCAGAAGGTAATCCAAATTTTGAGCGGGATTAGAACCCAGTGTTTTAGCAGAAGAAGACATTTCATGCCTTAGACCGCGAAGCCACTGTGATCGGTTTAGACCTGGGATCCATCAGTTCAAATTATATTTATAAAAATCATCCATCACATTTTTTGAATCATCGAACGTGTGGTACAAGATAAATTCTGAAATGTATGATCGTGTCATATGCAACACCATGTAGTTCAGAACAAGTACACGGACGTTTCGGAGGAACGTACAGAATCAGTCTTTCACTGGACTGATTTATTCTTAAAACTTGAAGAAGAATGTGATACTTTCTTCTAAAATGTAGGCGGACTTCTACCAATCTACACGATGTTATAACATTGAAAACAGCGTTCTCCATAGTCACCGATGTGAGAACCTCAAATCCGACTTATTTTCATAGGTGAAAGCGCTTTATTTTGCTAAATAAAACGGTAGTTTGTCAGCATGGAACGTAATTTTACTTCAGCAGCATAATTCATGAGGGCTAAAATAGCAAAGCTAAATAGGATACAGGTTTCATCCACATTTTCTGAATGTACTAGTACAGATTTCAAATAAAATGGGACTATACAACAACAACAACAACAACAACAACAAGAACAACAACAACAACAACAAAGTTTCATCCATGAAATATACAGAGTGATTCTAAATTATTGTCGGGGTTTCCGTTTATGGGCCACGGAAATCACCATGTATATTATAACTAACAAGCTTCTCAGATAAATGGCTTTAATGATCATAAGTCCGTTCATTTTTACTTATGTAACGATTTTATCTAATTTATCTACAAATTTTACTTCAACTGACCTGTCATTAGGAAATACTACACGACCGTAAATCAATAAAACCTAAGACGGATAATGAAGGTGTTGCACGCATGAGAAATTTCACAGAATTATGTAGTAGAACCCGACAAAGATCGTGCAACAACTTTACAACACGTAAGCTATTCTATATGACTACTCCAAAAGTAGATTCATATGCATCAAAACAACTCACTTTTGTTGAGAAGGACGGTGTGCAGACCTCAGATTCTAGAATGATGCATCATCAATATAGAGAACTTACCTGTAACAAAGAGAAAATATCTGTAATAAAACTGTTTACTCGTATGTGAAAAAATTGTGTTAATGAATGAACTGCGGTTGTGTGACGACGTCTTATGAACTGAAACGTTTATTTAGCGTCGAATAAACATAAAATGGTGATATCGTTCGGTACATTTGAAAAAAGAAGTTGGATTTACACAGTTTATTAATTCACATTTTTCTCTTCTCTACAGCGTCGCTACTGGCTCTGGGGCTCACGCAGCCTCCTTCCCAAATGTGTACAGGGTTAAAAGCGACAGCGGCGTCAAGTTGACCACTCACCTCCATCTAGCGTTGATGTCAAGAATAGTGGAGCTATACGTCAACTCCACCATACGTCTTCATGGATTCATGCTTAATTAATTAAGTCCAGGGGCAATGATATAATTCGTAATTAAAATTACTGAAATTTTTATAATGCTTCAAAGACAAAGAACAAAAATATGTCAACTATACACTTCTCTCTATACACGTAGCTTGCAAATTTTTGTAATCATATTGGACAAACGGCAAAGGAAATTGAAGTTTCAGCTTGAGACACCAAAAGAGAAAACAACGTTAGCTCCCACGTCTGAAGGCTTCGGTTTCTTTTTCTGTCGCTTTACGTCACAGTATCCCCCCCCCCACGCCGAACGTAACAAAGAAAGTGAGAACTTCTGAAGTTACAGTGTTGCATCCTTTCATGAATTCCCGAACGTAAACAGCTGAAGTCTGAAGAAAATTCAATGTGTAAAAATATTTCCACTTCACGCGCAAGAACTTTTGCAGTTGAAATGTGAATCTGAGCGCAGTGCCTGAAGATGAACGCCCTCAAACTGTTTATATAACTGCGCTTAATCAGCTGTATAGTACTTAAGCATCGAATATGCCTATTATTCAAGGAGTGTTTATCGCGGCCTTAGTACTGATTATACAAGTATACAAGTTCTTTCAAATTAATGCATTTGGGGCTCAATTTGTAGAACATTCAAAACTGTACTGAAAAGCTCATACGTCTTCAACATAATGATAATCTTATTCATTTCTTCATGCTCTTCCCGCAACTTGTCCTCTTAACAGCAATGCATATTGCTGGGCCTAGGACTACCTCCATGAACTCCGGTCACTTCGGTTTTTCTAGATCTTACACATTCGGTAGGACTCCTTGGGCGGGTGATCAGCTCGTCGCAAGGCCTCTGCCTGTAAACAAACACAGAAAAACGCACACACACAAACTAAACATCCATGCCTTGAGTGGGATTCGAACCCACGGTCCCGGTTTCCAAGTGAGCGAAGACAGTACATGCCTTAGACCGCTCGACTACCGTGACCGGCGTATTTCATTTCTAGCCTGTAAATCTATTTGCTCAAGAACAGCAAGGATATCTATCTACAACTCTTTTATTGACTGTCACAACACAACAAACAGAAAAAATCAAGGTTAGCGCCCAGCTATGGTTTCGCTACATGTTTCAGCCACTGACGGCCATTATCAGGCAAATACATACTAACAAACATATACCATTGAACTACTGTACACTAAATTGGATACAATCATTTAAAATACTTTGCGTAAAAATACAGTAAGTCAGATTATATAAAAACTAAAAGTTATTGTATAAAACAATATAAATCTTAATTGATCGAATCAGTCGTCGATTTTTTGCTTTTCATACGTTTCCATGGACCAATTGGAAGTTCGGTATTTCTTTTATATAAGAATGCATAGGAGACCCATGATGTTGCAAATTAATTAATCTGAAAATGATACGAAAATAATAGTATTAAATTTTGTCATAATTAATAATTGATTTTGATATTGAAGATGTAGTGTATAGTACATATTATTACTTACTGTATAGTCAGTGCCTCATCTCACAAAGTACTGTCCGTACTGTATGGAAAGTAAACAACGACTGATTTGGTGATGCACGATTAAAGTCAATGTTGGGGGGGGGGGAAGGGGGAGGTAAAGATAAGGTGTATGCGGGAGTTAAGGTAGGGGGGGAAGAGGGTATAACCGTATATTATGTTTTGTATGCTTCAATTGTTATATCATATATAGGGTTAAACATTTCAGTAAAATAATCATTCAGTTAAGTTTTGTTTGCTGATTTCGTAAATGTGAAATCTTTCGTATGTATCCAAGGTTCGGCCCTTCTTGCTGATATATAGAACTTCTAATATATTGTCTATCGTACCATATTCATGAGTGGTGTCCAATATATGTTGAGCAAATTTGGAACTTTGTCCGTTATTTTTTATGTCTCGTATGCGTTCTTTGAATCTGACCATAAGTACGTCCAGTTTGTCCTGTATATTTTAATGGACAGTCAGAAGATTGTAGTTGGTAAACCCCACTAAGATTATACATATCATTTTTGTCATCATTTATTTTCAACAGATGTTTTATATTGTTTTTGTCTTATATGAGATACCAGCCTCAGTATTCTTGAAAGTTCAGTAATAGATCTGATTTCATGTCCAAAATAGGTAAAAGTGGCCCATTTATTTTTCAGCGTAGTATTTTTTGAGGAGGGTTTTTGTGTTGTATAGTATTTAGTGGGTAGTTATTATTATTTAAAATAGTTGTAACAATATTTTCTTCTATGTTTTTATTGTTATGCGAAAGGGGATATTGATTCAATCGATTAATGAGAAAATTTATAGCTGCTTTTCTGTGTTCAAATGGATGACATGAATTGTTGTGAATGATTAGATCGGTAGTTGTAGGTTTTCGTGTTTTTTTTTCAATAGATCAATCTAAGACATTGATCTTACTATTCGTTTCTCTTTCTATTGTCAATTTTATATTAGGGTGAATGTTGTTGATTTCATACAACGCATTTTCGATGTTAGTTATATGGGAATTATAAATGATTAAAATATCAGCAACGTCTCTAAAATAATCAATTAGTTAGTATTTCGTCAAAATATCAATGATAGTTGTATGTTCGAGGTATTGAATAAATACTTAAACAAGAATCGCTGAAGTTGGTGCTCCCATAGAAAGAGCTTTAAACTATTTGCCATTATGTTCAATATAATTTTGTCCTAACATTATCTTTAGCAGATTATTAATTTCAATTTTTGTTTCATGTGACACATTTTCTTTCTTAACTATAATATTTTCAATAACATTGAAAAGTTCTTTTGTGGGGATATTGGTATACATCTTTTCAACGTCGAACTGACACATTTGTGTACTGTTGTTTATTTCAATGAGTTGTAATGAGTGTGCTAGCGTACTAATATTTTTCACATTAAAGGCATTAGCTAATTGTAATGTATTTGTTAATATTGGGTTTAAGTGTTTTGCTAGATTATATGCCGGGCAGTTTGTCCATCTATCTATCTATCTGTCCGTCCATCCATCCATCCACCTATCTATCCACATATTCATCCATCCATTCATCCACCCACCCATCCATCCACCCATGGCTGTACAGCCCTTGTGGACCCTGGCTGATTTTTCAGTTTCTTATTCTATTCACAGTCGGTAGGGCTCCTTGGATGGGGGATGAGCCCGTCGCAAGGCCACTACCTACACACAGAACAACACAGACACAGAATAAATGCACACAGATATCCAAGCCTCGAGAGGGATTCGAACCCACGATCCCAGCTTTCGAGCGGCGAAGACGGTTCATACCCTAGACCGCGCGGCCACTGTGACCGGCATATGCACACACATACGTATAAGTAAGTTACTAAGCTTAATTATCTGTGTGTTCTGATACTGAGAGCTCGTAACTGGCCGCATGTAAAGAAGTCGATTTTCTGTTAAGAACTGCGAACACGTGCGAACTCCCACGCCACCCGACAGATGTTCAGAGTTTTTCGACATTTCCTGAAATCATAACAAAAAGAAGCCCGTACTGTGAGACCGGACAAGTGTCGGAACAGAGATGAGCCCCCAACTTTGAGACCAAAGACGTGAAACAAGTTCAGACGGAGGTGGTTGCTGAGTATGAGCAATAGCAGAATAATAAACACCAACAGAAAACTGAAGACACTCAGAGAAAAAGCCTGTGCCACTTCGTCCACATCTCACGTGAAGCCACCCGGTACTGAACCTGAGCCCTCTCTGTGAGAAGCCAGTGTCGAGTAGCCAGAGCGGTGGAGCAGCCTATTCAGATATCTTATATTGCACCTAAAATACAAACGTGACATGCTGGAAGAACTGTTCCCGGGATTCAAACCCATGGCTATCCCGGATTAACGTTGCAACAAATAAGAGATTTTTTCTGTCTGGTGGTTCGTCTAATACTTGATTCATGGAATCAGTATTCAAACTAATCATAGAAACACCGATATATAAAAATATCTAATTTAAAATTTATTTTCTTCTTCAGCGGCGCAGACTTAATTTGGTACGTTCTGTTTCGTCTTGAACTAGGTTGCATATATTACGATGGTTGTATCGGAAATATTTTTCTCTCGTATAATTGGTTTGGAACTCTGTCTATAATGGTCGTCATCTTGCAATGCTCGAAGGGCAGGACCACTCTTCCAGCATAACACAATAGTCGGATATGTGGAGCATAATGACTGCTGACGACACGAGGCAGACGGAGAGGAAAGGGTCGATTCTGACTAGCTGTAAAGGTGAACACTCGAGTATCTGTCAGTTGCCAAACTGGAAGACAGGAATTTCATTATTCCTGGAAGAGCAAGAATATGTCCCCAAGAGCCACACTCTTCAGCGCATACTTACCATCGTCTGTTCTGTGTCTTGACTCAACACCAACAAACCCAGTCATACAGAAAATTGCATACACATGACCCAAACACAAGTGGGACTCCACGTCTCCAAGGCAAGCACTCAAATTCTCCTGTAGTTAGGATAGTGGACTTGCTAGCTCATGGAGCTGAGCCCTTCTGGAGGAGCCGCCAATTCTGCAGCTACTCAAGAATTTCCCAGCATTTTATGGAACCCGAAGGTTCATTACCGTGTTCGCAAGAGCCCTCCACTGGTCCCTATCCTAAACCAGATCTATTCAATCAATACCATGCCATCCATTCTAATATTGTCCACCCACCTACGCCTTGGTCTTCCCTGTGGTTTCTTTCCTTCTGGCTTTCCCACCAATATCCTATACGCATTCCTCGTCTCCCCCATTCGTGCTACATGACCTGCCCACCTCATACTCCTTGACCTGATCATTCTAATTATACTTGGAGAAGAGTAGAAGTTATGAAGCTCCTCATTATGCAGTTTTCTCCACCCTCCTGTCACTTAATCTCTCTTCGGTCCAAATATTATCCTCAACACCCTGTTCTCAAACACCCTCAGTCTGTGTTCCTCCCTTTAATGTCAGAGAAAAAGTTTCACACACATACGGACATTGTCGTAACCACCACACCATAAGACAGGCATCGGCGCCTTGAGTGGGACTTGAACTCACGATCCCAGTGTTCGAGCGGGCGAAAATATTTAATGCGTTAGACCGACCGGCCACTGTGACCGTCATGAAGTTTTTGAAGACACTAAAGAGTATCTGTCAGAGAAAATACCATGTATTGTTTATACAAAAAATATTAAGTATCGATAAATTGGGGTCAGTTTCTACGAAAAATGTTCGAAAGTTCTTTCGCGGGAAGTTTTCGGTATCAAGTAACTAAACAGTGCTAAATACCAGAATTCTATTTGAGAAGCTAAGACTCATAGATTCTAAAGGGTTCTGACGATGGTGGATGACACACAGAATTCCTGGGGTTTTGGACTTTCTCCATCATCCGGAATTCTAGGTAACAGAGGTCACGACGTTTTGGAAACTGGATCTGTTTCAGTTTTCAGGTGAGAAAGGAAGACACCTACTCAGTTGGGCCCCTTAGAAAGACTTTCTTACGTAATTCTTCTTATATTTATGAAAACTGGAGGTTCATTAATGTTTCCTTAAAAGTCCACAACTGGCCCCTATTTTCATTATTATAACATATTTGAATTTCAATAATTGTTATAGGAGCGAGAACGAATCGACAAAAATATTTTCAAAATTCACTCGACACAAGAATCTCTAATTAGTACAAGAATAATATAGACGTTCCTATAGCATGGAAATTAAGTAACTATTTCAGTCATCAGATCCCCAATCCAGCCGAAATTTTGAACCAGCACTTGAGAGAAACCGGAAGTCACGGCTGAGATGATAACAATCTGACTTCGTACTTCGGAAGTCTCGAGTTTCTTTCTTGTCTCGGATATCCAAAATAACAGATGCTTCTCGGTTTTCCTTACTTCCTACAAATAAACTTTAAGATGGAACTTTAAAACAGGCCACGTCCTTAGCTATTTCGACCATTTCAATGCATAATTAATAACCATTCTCATTTGACACTATAACTAATATTTGTGAGTCGTTAGGTAGGTAATAAAATGGAAATATGTCTGGAAAAGAAAATATGGAACTATTTTTTCGCACCTGATGTGCATTGTACCCTTGAGACGGAAGAATCAAATAATTTACTTCCATTACAGATATCCAGTCTACACTTGGAAAAGCAGAAGGTAAGCACAGCAATGGAAATGATTTGGAAGCGCAGGAAACGGGGACTCCTTCGCTTCATTTCGTACCATCGAAGCCTAGGGTCGCAGAAAGGGAAACCTGACCTCTCGCTCCAATTGGGCAAATTGTAAGCGACGTGGCACGAACAGCTGCAATAATTGATGAAGCGGGCGGAATTCTTCTCGGGGGCAACGGAAAGCATTTACTTACGGAAACGCGTACCTCACGGCGCCCCATCCAGTTGCCTGCAGAACCAGTTCATATCAACTTAAACAAAAGAAAATGAAATCGTGGATATAACCAAAGAACATAATGCCAATACTTATAGGCCTGAAGATCATTTAATTATATTACAAATTAAGTACGAGTCATAAAGGTAAGGT